ATGGCATGAGAGAATGGCCTCCTGCTGGTATCAACCAACGTTTGGTGAGGGTGAACTTCAATGGGATTTGTTTGTATAAATTAATTTTGTTTTTTAGACATCTACTACTGTTTATTATTTTTGTTTAAGAATTTCTAGGTATTCCAGGGGATTGATGGTACAGGGGAGTAACAGGATGTCCTCAGTTAACTCCAAGTTATGTGTTACTGATTAGCTCATGATTATCAAAATGCTCAATAGTGTCATCTCTAATAATGCTTTCCAGAACCTTTCCAGTGGCTATTAGACTGATGTGGGCCTATAGTTTCCTGGTGTGGATCTTCTTCATCCCTTCTTACAGACTGGTATGATGTGCACTCTTTTCCAATTATTTGGTGCTGCACCCTCCGTATTGAGTTATTGAAGATGTAAGTGAGTGGTGTGCTTAATTCATGAGCGTCATCAATAGACTGTGGGATACAATCTGGTCAAGCTGCTTTGATGGCTTTAGACCTTCCAACTTTCCTCTGACACAGTCTTGTGTTATTCTGATTTCCTTTAATATTTCCTCCTCGAGTTCTTTACATGTACATAATGATTCAGGATTTGGTATTTTTTGTTTCTCTTCAGTGAAGACTGATGGAAAGGAATCATTCAGGGCATCTGCAGTCTGCTGGCCTGTTGGTATTGATTCACCAGTACGTCTCTTCAAAGGTCCAACTGTGCCTTAACTTTTGTCTTGGATGGCATGTATGCATAGATGCTTTTGGAGTATAGTTTTAGGCTTTGGAGAAGTTTCTTTTCCAAGTCTTTCTTTGCTTGTCACACATCATATCTAGCTTCTTTCTGGCATTTCTGATATTGCTCGCAGTTTTCTGTTGATTTTTCTTTTAAGCTTTGACAACCCCGAGGTCTCTGTGCCTTCCTAGTTAACCATAAAGATTCCTTCTTTGTTTGGCTCTTCACTACAACACAGTCTTTAATTGATCACACCTTGACATTTCTTTTTGGCTGTGTTCCAAGCTTGTTCCACTGCTTAGGTTTGAAATTAATCACAAAATTGATCTTCCCATTTCAGTTGTCTTAGTTCTGCTTCAATTTTGTTAAAATTTGCATTCTTGAAGTATCTTTTTCCCAGAGATTCCTCAAACTCGACAAAGTAAATCATCTCTGATTTCAACACGTTGTGATCACTTACACCATGGTGTGCCATGATCTCCACTTCCTCTATCATACCTTGAATGTTATCAGCAGATAAGGAGTGAATCTCGTCTTGTTGGTTGAGTAACATGTTTGGACCATAAGTTATCAAGTGTGACATAAAAAAATCACAGATTTTGTTAATGCTGCTTCCACTGGCTCGCAATCAATCTCCCAATCAATTCACCAATAACTGAAGTCCGCTACAATCATAAGGTTTTTGTGTCACAAATCAGTTGTCTGTAATCTGCTGTAATCTTGTTGAAGTCTCGTTGTGCCAAAGATTCCTGGGACTCAACAAAGTAAATCATCTCTGATTCTTTACACAATTCCCAGTAACAAATCCATCTCCGTATGCTTTCATGTTATGTCAAACTATAGGGCTTCTCCATATTTGGGCAGTGCTGTGTCTTCACATAAATGTAGCTGTACTTCCAAGTCTCCTTTAGTGTCCAGAAGTATGCCACCATGTGCTTCATTATGCCTATCATATTTAGTGATGTGGTATTGGATAGACGAATCTCAGCACTGGCTATGTCATCACGTAGCCATGTCTACATGATACCCACTATGCTGGATGCATTTCTTCTTCAGCAAAGGATTATTATTTGTCTCTCTCATTTCTTTGTGCATTGGTGACGGTGCATTTTTCACTTTTCTTCTAAAGCCGGGGGGGGGGGGAGTAGGCCCATTCTCCCTTTGATCTCTTTTTCAGGTATGTGTAGATTTCTTGTTCCTGTATGTAGTAGTTTCCTGGTATTTCTTGCCTTTATTAGTTGATAGCTTTTCCTTTCATCTTCTCAATTCTTGGTTATGCTGCTACTTGCTTCGGGCGTCTGGAAGTTTAGACTGATTTCTTGCATTAAGTTTTTTTCTAGCATTCTCATCTACATCCAGTAGTTTCTATTTATCCTTCCAGTATTCTGACTGGGAACATTCATTTATTCTTTTGCCTGCTCTCTTGGTCAAGCTTTCTGCAAAGACCCTGTTCATGACTCATTTCACACACCTCTTGATGGCATGTGACAATGCCTCCTGCTGGTATCAACCCCAGTCTGGTGAGGGTGAAGCTCAACAGGATTTGTGTCTTTGTATGAATTAATTTGATTTTTCAGGCACCTACATGTACCCATGTCAAAAAACTTTTCTAATAGCTATTGAAACATAGAGTACATGCGGATCTTCAAATTTTACAAAATTAAAAAAAAAACAATTTTAAATTCCTTCTATTTACTGGAGCAAATGCACTGACACTCCTCTTCTACAGGGTGACCTCGATCATTTCTCTCCAAAATTCGGTTATCCGTATTTGTAACAAATCCAGAGTAAGATTTGTGTCTCATGTTTCCAGTGCAGTGAGGTGGAACTTCTTTAACTTCTTGTCATAAGGCAGAAAATGAGAAAATGGGATTGTCCACTTTTGACACTCCATAGTTTTACCAAAAAGGAATCATGGAACAGACTCACCGGGTGCTGCAAGATGCTGACCGGGGCCTAGTCGCGAGTTGCTCTTAATTCAGGCACTGGAGCACATCCATGTTGACAGAGGCCCACATATTTCAGCCAAATGGAGATAGATATGGAGAGGAAGTAAGAAGTGGGTTGCAAACTCATCTTTCACTGTAGACAAGTGCAGGTTCCAAAGTGTTAATCCCAATCAACTGCAGTGTATGCAGATATGCTTTGCTACGTCACAAATTTACGATAGTAAAAATAGACTCCAAAATACATCAAAATTCGACGTCAAAAAGATAAGAAATATTGCTAAAACTGTGATAAAAGTAATTAAAAGCAACTTCGTGAGGTTAAACGGTGACGATGCACCAGATAAGAAGGGATTTTTCCAGCAAGGAACTTTTCATACATCCCGCGAAAACACGACGCGTCAGCTCAGGCAAGCATGCGCATTCCAAATCCTGTTAGTTAAATCAAGCATTGGATTATGTTCAACAGAACTGCAGTTTTTGAAACAATTGCCAAATTTTCATCGCTCTTTTGTAGACGGCAACTGAAATGAAATAGGCACAGCATAGCATAGCAGAATTTGATATTTTGAAGTAAAAGGTCAGTCATCACACTGCAGGTTGCACAACGGTAAATTTGCACCCATAGTTTAGAAAACGGGGCAAAAATCGGACAAAAATAGCGCCGCCTGGTGTGACTCTCAGGGAGAGGTTGGCTTCTGTTTCCCTCTCGAAATTCAAGATTTCAGCCAAAAGTCAGTTTTCTTTTCAGTTTTATAGGGGTTAGCCACGCAAATCTGTTTTATTCGTCCTTCGCCGAAAACAGTGGTAAAACTGTCAGCTTTTAATGAAGACGCCCACCTCTATGGAAAATAGGCCCACAGGTTGGAGGTTCTCATCTGTGAACAAAATATCGAGTTGGACGCCAAATCCCAAATGTTTGATTTATAGAGATATCTGTATTATCGCTCCCGATTATTATGGCACCTCTAGTGGCGTATCCAGCAGGGGGGCAGGAGCAATTTTTTCCCAATTTTTTTTATATATCAAATATTTGTCAAATATTGCACCAAAAGCCTAGGAAAACAACACTAGGAAATAAAAGTAAGGATGTCCGGATCGTAAGGCTTCGATGTTTTTTCTCCCTTAACAACATGCTTAATAATCACGAGGCAGCATTCACTTTTTGAATCCCCCGGTAACCCGAGGGATTTGCACTCGCACAACTCGATGAAGTCTGAAAAGCGCCCTCATTGCATTAAAAACTTCGCTTGCACGATATGAACCAATCAGCTGCATGAATTCAGCAACACATACGGAATGCGGTACGTTTGAATTCGATCGCATTGGGTCACAGTGGACTGGAGCTTGAAGGGACGATTGCGTAGTTTATAGAGGTTTGGGAGTAGGCCTACATCAGACATATTACTGTTTGATCGTAAAGAAGACGAGGTGGGTAAGATGAAGGACCTATCTTCTGTGGAAGACAGAGACACCTTGAAATATGTCGTACGGCATGAGCTGAAGACGTTCGGAATCAAAGTGCCGAAAGAAAAAAGAAGCAGTGTAAGATGCACGCAAGCTCAAGGGAAGGTCAGTGAAATAACCGTGTATTTTCGACACAATGGGCATTTTGGAGCTGTAAGGCCTAATTGATAAACATTTCAATAGGTCCAAATTTTCATATTGATATTAGGGGCCGTCTTTAAAGTTACATACGTACGAAATGTAATACATTATCCAATGTTATACATTCGTGACATTGTACTTCCACACGGGTGAGAGCACATGTACTGTCATGACTGACTGTACTGTAGTGTACCCCTCTGTCATGTCTGTACTGTACATGTACATAAATCCTGTGTATAGGCCTAGGCCTTTGTTTTTAATTTTTGATTAGGCCTAGTCAGGGTTGTACCTCATTGTTAAACTTTAGGGGGGGCACATTTTGTGGATGTCATTGGGGTTTAATTTTGGATCATCCGAATCTGACCCATTGAGATTTTACGCGTGAAAATTTAGGCCGGTAAAAATAAGGGTTTTTAAAACTTTACTGTAATTTGTGTATTTTTGTGTAATTAGCATAGTGTACATGTATCCTACATTAGCAAATGAGGAATAATATTATTTATACCTGTATTCGTTAATTTTCGTACATTTATTGATATTACACGTTAATTATTTTTATAAGCAGCTGATAATCAGTGTCCTGTTTATACTCATTAATGTCCATATGTTATTTATTTTCTTTTTCTGATACTGATAGCATCTTAGGAGAGCCTCACGATAGTGATCAAGTTGCTTCTTGGCAATCCCTCAGGGGTGTTACCAGTTTGTATTGTGTATTTTGTAATTTTCCTATTCTCTTTTATGCTTGTTGTCTTTGTCCTGATCAGGTATGTACATGTACCTGAGATATAATAAATGAAATGAAAAGGCATACCAGAACTGTGTGGGCATGGTGGGGTCTGACGTCCACCCTGGGCGGACATCAGACCTCACAGTTCTGGGGGTAAGGGCACCTGTACATACTGTAATACATTTCCGGAAGATGCTGCCAGTTTTTGTGTCATGCATGTTACGAGTAATGTTGCGATTTATAATGGGTGTTGGCACGGCTATGCCGTGGTGCGCAGGGGTGGACAACAGTGAGGCAGCCCCACACGTAGCAGGGCTGTAGTGGCTCTCTTTTACAATCTGTCTGTTTGTGACAATCCTGCAGTTTGGATTTCAGGCATTAAAGACACGCCTTGAAGTAGGGCTGTGGTGGCGACAGATAAGAGACAGATTGTAAAAGGGAGCCACTACAGCCCTAAGTGTGGGGCTAATGGTGAGGGTACTGTGTTTGAGTGGTTTTTCGATGCACAACAGCTGATTCTGGTGAAAAGGTGTATTGATTTGATGAAGATTCATTAGAACCCTCCTGCTGTAACTGTCAAGAACAGTCAAAAATTCCTTCCACTCGATTTGCCCCAGTACACAGACACATGGGAAATTTGACTGATTTTGACTGAAATGACATCTGTGTCAAGAATGTATCTTTGCATAGGAGGGTTTAAAAACAAATTTTCGGTCTGCGTGCGCTACGCACTCGTTATATATAATTAACATCTCCCCAACGCAAAAATACATCTTGAAAAACATGTACATGTAGTTGATTACACAGTCCTGAGCCCATAGGTCATTGGAGTCCTGCCTAGACTAGATATGCATCAGGTTTGATGGCTTTTGGGGGAAGAATTGATTGAGAAAGTGGAGTTTTAAAAACAAAAAGTTGACCTTGTCTGCCCCAATTTCATATACAGGGCTGCATTCAAAAATCTATACTGCAGTAAGAACCCATAACAAGTCATCGTGATCGTAGGGCTGCGGTCACACAGAGTAGTGACTTGCAGTTCTGTATATCATGTAAAGTCAGAGGTAGTCCACCCTGCACGATAATGACGATTCTCAAATTTCGGAATCGGCTATAATGACCACAAAAACAGCATAAGGGTAAAACTCGACCTGTTTTTTTTTTTAAATAGCCTATGAGTATGGGGATATCGGTGCATGGAACTGTTTCTCACGTATTTATTTGAAGTGGTCTGGTTAGGTGTGAAGTTGGGAAAAAATTCAACAACCTGTAGGGAGTGAAACACTACAACACACATCCTTGTGAAGTGTCATAATACATGTACATGTATAGGCCTGCGTGTACAAGTACAGTGCGATGTACATGTACAAATATAGACGCATTTATGGTACACATGGGCACCTCTTGATCACTGCTCTGATTCAGTAGCTATCAGAAATTGCAACCTTGAAAGGTTATTAAGTTTTTTCAAATGACATGAAGATCAGTTACTTACATGTACATGTAGTACATATGCTTTATTGCTGTTAAATTCATGGCTTTGTGATATCAGGGACCAGAACTGTTAACTTACTTAGCCACTTACATGTACATATAAATCACACAAAAGGTTAACCGCTTTCCTTCTCTTAATAGACAACTTGGTTAATCCATCATTGCAGAATGACAATATCAAGAGATGCATATCCTGATAGGTACATGTACAAATGCCCATGTTCACCTTCTCACCAAATTGTTGCTCATTATTTCTCCTGGGCTCACAGGAAAAGTCCACAACCGCCAGTAGATCAGCTGTGTTTGGTTGTTCCCTTGATGAAGTTCCAGCCATCCCGATAAATGCCAGCCCAGGCAGTGCAGTACCAAAGTAAGTCAGGCAAAACCTTAACCCAAACTCTCTTGGGCAGGGGTTCCGTTCTTGCAAGGTACATGTAGAAACTCTCCTGCACCTGCTAGCAACGTCTTCACGCCTCAGTCAGCATTAAATTGACTATTGGCAATTTGTTGTCAGTGTTGCTCTCAATGTACCGATTACGCCCGCTAAATCATGTGACCTATAGTGGGTATCACTCTGTAGCAAACTGTGTTTTGAGTCAGTGTTTGCAAACAATGAAGCTGATTTACGGTATAGTACCCGCCACATCAGCAGTCTGTACCACTGTTTTTTTTTTTAAATAAACACTTCGCTTCTAGTGAGTGCCGTGTTTGTTGATATTAGATACACGTACATGTACCCACTATAGGCCACAAGACTTAGCGCATGCAAACAGTCTATTGATGGATATACATGTATGCAAACTTTGCTTCCTCAATCCTGCAAATTCCTCTGTTTTAAGGAATTTCTATGAAAATCTGTCCAAATGCAGAATGTGTTAAGACCGAGACCTTGAGTCTAAAGCCTACATGTAAATACTGGTCGTTACATGTACATTTAACGTTAGGACTACACAGTAAATTAAGATCATGGAGAGAGAATGAGAGACAAGAGGACAGTTGATCAGTACATTATATGTTTACATAAATGACTACCTTTGACAAGGACAAGGGTTCCCCTTATTCAGGGATAGTTTTTGTCGAATAGGATAGCGTTAAGAAATTGAAGGTGATGTCATTAATTACATGTGAATTTTTGCAGTTCTTTCCATAAGTCATGATAATTGGCCAATATAAAAAGAAACATTTCTTTTCATGAACATGAAGTAAATACATGTACAAAGCAGTGTGGATCATTCACATTGCTTATTCAAATCGTTGGAACCCAGTAGCAATCCATGGAAAGATGAATAATGCCTCTGTCTCTTTTCCACACATGCATTAAACAGATTTCTAGTGGATTGCGTGCAGTTTCTGCAGGACAACATTGGCTGTGAGGGTTTGTTCCGTAAACCAGGGTCCAGGTCACGACAGAAAGATTTACAGGTATTTAAGAGGATAGCTTTCCTGAATAACGCTTGCCTCTCAGGGCATAAACATTAGTAATTAGAAAGATTTAAAAATACCAACGTATTTGTCTGTCCAAGTGCATTGGGAAAGAATGCATTATTTTGACAGCAATGTTTTCCTCAGTTTTTTAACCTGGGACTGGGACAGTATCATTGTTTCCCACTGGGATACTTTTGATAAAAAAGCCTTATTGACTAATACCACAGTATTCCTTGAAGCGGGTATTACATTTATGTCATCAAAAAGCAGTGGTGATAAGCCAACATTTACTGGGAATGCCAACAAATATGGGCCAGCGTGAAGGTTGTTGACAACTTGGAAAATCCCCTAAAGTTTAGAAGTACATGCACCTGTACAGTGTATCATCATTTATCAGTCCATTTATTTTCAAATAAATATCGTGTATGTGATAGAATAATAAAACGTGAAGATAAAATTTGATAAAGTTTTCAAGCAAGAATAATGTAATACTGCAAAAGGAAACTATAAAATGGAAATGACAGAACAAGTTCTTGGTTTATGACTGTGACAAAACACAACCCTGTAAGACATTGTTCGAGGCTTTCCGTTCAGACACTAAAAGCTACACCAAAATTGACGCTGTTAATAGTGTTATATTGAAAGGGTTCTGCAAACATTCCAGGCACATTAACAAGAATACCACAGCACTGAGATTCCATACCGAGTTTGCCGGTATTGTGGTATTCATGGATCATCATTCGGTATTGTTCGGTATTGAAAAAATGAACACCACTATAGTCTATTCAGTAATACTGAAATACCATCCAAGCCTACTGCCTTTATTATTAAGCCTGTATTAATCCTTGTTTGTATTGCAGCTCATGATTGAGAATAACAGCCCCATCCCAAGAGATGCCAATGTTCATGATGTGGCAGGCCTCTTTAAGCTCTTCTTTCGAGAGCTGCCCGAGCCCCTCATCAGCGGCAAGCTTGCTGAGGCGCTCCTCAAGAGCCGCCAGCTCCACGACCCCCAGGTGAGCCGCTACACCACCCAGCTGCTGTGCCTGACCCTCCCGCCCCTCCACTGCCACACGCTGTGCTACGCCCTGCAGTTCCTGCAGCGGGTGGCGGCAGACGCAGCCAGCAACCGGATGGACGCCGCCAACTTGGCCCTGGTCATGACGCCCAACCTGGTGGGCGGGCTCAAGATGGAGAAGGGCGGGGGCAGCAGCAGCACAGCCAGCACCGAGAAGCTCCTGAGATCGCATACGGCTGTGGTCAGGCACTTGATCCAGACGGCCAACGACATTGGCAAGGTGCCGGACGCTGTTGTCGAGAGAGTCGAGAGCTTTGGGAACCGCTCGGGCGATCTGCTGACGGACAGGCTGACATCAGAGGATGAGCTGGATAAGAGCGGGGATGGGATGCTTGAGGAGAGGAAGAAGAACCGGAGACGGCGGCGAAGTGGACCAATACAAGGTGAGATGACATGTCACCAATTCAAGTACACATGCATGCTGTGTTGCAGTCAAAGGTTTCAAAAACCCACCGGAATCTTTGTGAATACATTTCTTTATACGTTGGACGAAGGTAAAGGAAGCAAACTAGGTCACCTTGCCCCAGTTTGGCTACCACAAACACAAAAATGTTGGACATTTTTACAGGAAAATATCCCCTTTTTATAGGTATCATGAGTGGCATTGGGCAAAGCCTTGGGATTTTGAAGTCTGGTACAGGAAGTGCAGTGATGAAGTCTCCTGCTACAGACGATGTCATTGAGAATCCGTCATTCCTTGGTAAGCACTGTCACTTTGTTTTTAAAAAACTGCATACCGATACTTTCTCTGTTGATGTTCAAGACAGAATCTCTTTCATCAGTACTCTACGTACATGTATTTCTTCTTTAAATGGCTTTAAATGGCAACTGGATGTTGCTTCTTTTACATTCATCAGATCTGCAACTTTCTGTAGAGCCAGTCAAGTTCCTTATTTATCATTTTCGATGTATGCCATTCTTAACTGAAAAACACTGAATTTCCCAGCTTTCTCTGACATTCCACTTGCTGTTCTGGCTCTTACTTGGGACATTTTTCATTAATGCCGACCATACAGGGATGACTTTTTGTAACTCTCATTGCTTTTTCAGCACAGAGAAGCCTAATCTTTCGTCCTCTACCAAACTAAACTTTTTCAAATACAAGTGTCATTGCTGATTTTCACAGGAACATTTGTCTTAAATACGATTTGTCCCACCTCTCCCAGGTGAAACCCCTCGAATACTCAGATCCAGCAAGAGGAAAGCCAGTGAGGATTTGGGGGCATTTTCATCAGCAAAACGGTAAGGGAATAGAGACAAGCTGACATCGGCAGCAACATCTCTTGCGTGTTTGCCTCTTGGTATTGTCAACAAATCCATTAAAACCTGGCCAAAACTCAATGTGTACATTAATTTATTACCCAAAGTTTCATCACCATAAAGCAGGGGAAATAATGGTGGTAACAGAGTGTATGTGCCCGTTTCTGTATATTTCTAACATTTGTTGGCCACTGGGTTGGCCACACAACCTTGCTTGGCAGTTGAGGCGCCCAAGGACACTGACGGTGCCGCGGTCTGCACTGTACATGTAGATAGGGTTTCGTGTATGCCCTGGTGTTCAGATGTATTTCTTATCCTGGGTCTTTTATTGTTGGCCAACCCGAAGGAAAGCGATGCTACACCAGATGACCGTGGACCCACAGTACAGCAAGCCAGGCCTGAGCTTGCACAGGGAAGGACGACAGGGGATGACAGTGACGGATTCCCCCATCACTCCCCTCAGACCCATTGGGCCTGCACTAGGAGAAGTTGGTAGGTTAAAGTCACACGTCCCAGCGATCCGCTCAATCCTTTAAACTTGGCATGAAAGCAAGGGTGCATTTGATGTCTTGAAGCATTCACAGCAAAATTTACCCCAGTTGAGATACATGCAACATTTGCATTCACTGTCACTATGAGTGCAGTGCAAAAGTGCTCATGTTACTGGGTTATGGACACTACACCTGTATTAAAATATAGACACCACAGGACCAAAAGTGTTTTTGCAACCATTTTTTTTGCCACAGCGTAGTTCCAACTTTCCTAAAACAAAAGAAATTGTCCCCTTAATGCAGGGAACCTCTACCTATCTGTATTTGCACTAAATATTCATGAACATTTCCAGGACTAATTTTAAACTGAATGTGCACAACCAGTAGTATCTTTGAGACTGCTAGACACACAGTGGAAGTGGTATTCAGATAGCTCTCATGTCTCTCGTATAACTGTTAAGAACAGGGTTCCTGCGGGCTGGAGAAGTCATGGAAAAGGCATGGAAATTAGTTTTCATTTTCCAGGCCTGAAAAAGTCATGGAATTTTTTAAAAGTAACTAAAGTCATGGAAAAGTCAATGAATTGTTCAAACACTGTGTGAGATTTCTATTATCAGAAATAAGTGCACAAAATGCATGATTTTATGTGCAACTTGAAAAGTCCGAATAGCCCAAGAAATTGCATTCTTGGGTCATGGATTTTCATAATTTGGTCATGGAAAGTCATGGAATTTAATTGTCCTCCAGGTGCAGGAACCCCGTAAGAAGGTTTCTGTATGTGCATATTTTCTGCGAAAATTGCAAAATAAGGAATCTTGCGTACTTGTACTTCGGAGCATGGGGGATATTCTGGATTAAGTTGACCAAATTGTATATGTACGTGCTTCTTTAAAGGATTCAATTCAATGTGTACTCAGACAGAATATCTACTTATCCTTTGTGCCAAACTATAGATGCCATAACTGAGGACGGATCAACAGTCTTCAAATTCCAGACGCCGTCCATCAAATTTGCGGACGATTCTTTCACAACGTTTTGTGCCACACCACAGGGGAAGGTCGGCTTAGCAGGTGCTACGCATGGGAAAAAGCTGGGCAAACTCAACCCATTGAGCAGCAAAAAGTACAAGAGGTATAACATGTCTTCTGTAGATTGTCCCTTTCCATAGGACTTTGTTAGAGGGCCATGATTTTGCTCTGACACATTTTATCCCCAATTTGTTGATCGTACCACAAAAGGACTTGTATGTAGTTGCAGTAAGTTACAAGTTTATGCACTAACTTGACAGCTCAAAACAATACTTTTCACCTTGAAAGTACAGCATACTTCTGTAAATAACAGTGGTTATACTTTTTTCATCTCAGACGTTCTGGTGCAATACAAACTGATGCCAGCACTCCCAAATCAGTGTATGCCAGTTACACCCCCAAATCTAGCGGTGTCTACAAATCCATCAAGAAGAGACTTGGCCACAGACACACTCGCACGCAGGTGAGGGTAATGAGTCACACAGCCTGAGAGCAGTGTGCAGTTTCAGTCACAGCTGTGAATGTTGTCATCATGACCTGACGCAAAGTGATACCTGTGCACGCTCACCTTGTGTGGACAGTTTACAATTCTATGTGATTTCGGTTTTCACAAAATGGACACTCAAGCTCCCATGTGTGTACTCAGAACATTTTTGTTTTTAGAGACTGATATTAATTTCCCAGTGCAGAAAGGGTTTTTACAAATTGCTACTTAATTCCACAGCTATAAAGATTGAGTGAATTCGTAGCAAAACTTTTTAAAGTACTTTTCTCAATTTTTCTGAATTGCACATCGATAAAATGCTTGTGTGTTTGCAAAAACCAAAACTTTAAATTACATGTCAGTGTGAAAAGTGCAAGTGTATGCCAGACTTCTGGCAGTTGTCGGAATTCTGGCCATTTCATATTTTGAGAAAAAATCCATTGGCCTTGGATTTTGAGGGTCCTAGGAGGGTTTGGGTGGTTAGGGTTAAATACAGGCATTTACAGTAGTGTGCCTCCAGGAGTTGGCAACGCGTTGATCTTCGAAACCCGCATTGGGTCAACAGATTTTGCGCATTGTGATTGGTCAACACGTTGCAAACTCTTGGAGGTGCGCCGTTGTGAATAGCTTACATTGAAGTGTTCATTTATTGTTTATTACATCCAGACTAATTTTTGTTTTGATTCAGCCAACTCCAATTCATCTTAATGACATGCCGGATAAATCCGTTGGCTGGCGGCTGGCCAATCCTCCCATGCAAGAGGACTCGGCCATGTTGGACAGCCTGGCTCTTGGCACCTCGCCCCAACTGAGAGGAACACCGCTCACAAGGAGACGTCAAAGGCGACAGAAGATGCCCAGCTCACCAGCCACGCTCTTCAGTCCCTGCACAGCAGCATCCTGCCCAGTGCCAGATCAGAGGGACAGAGATCAGGGGTCAGCTGGTGCTACAGATGAGAGGCCGGGAGCTGGTGTCATGAGAGATACGGAATCCCCAAAAGTCGTGGTAGTAGATCTGAAATCCAGCACCTGTCCTGAGACTCTCGGTGACGTATCCAATGCCTATCCGCTTATTGGCACTGATGATTCAAATGGGCAGGAACTTCCGAAGAATGTCAGTTCCACAGATGTGAAGGAATACTCAAGCGGAATTATCAAGAAGGAAATCCACAGAATCATGTCTCCAGGAGTTCACACAGCAGGTGAGGAGCCCCGAAGACCAGACCCTTCACCCAAACACGAGCCCCATAGTGAAGCCACCGAAGGTCACACATTGCTGCAGCCGTCCGCCAGCCAGAAGAGTCTGTCCAGTGTCCTCTCCCAAGTCAGCATGGACAGCGCCAAATCTGTGTTCAGCGTGGAGATCGATTATGACAGAGCCAGCTCTCGGGCAGTGACAGAGGATCACGACATAACGGTGCAGACTGATGAAACACTAAGAGGTACACAGGAGCATGCAGAGTTGGAGTGTGACTTTCAGGAGAGTGATACACAAATATGTGCTCCCTATAATGTACTCGAGGATGCTGATTACGGTATACTGCAGATGGATGGAGGTTCCAGCAAGTATGACAATGATGAGATTGATGGGATCCAAGATTTTCAAGAACATGAGGAAGGTAGGGCTCAGGTAGGCAGTGTGCTTAGCTTGGACAGTGCAATCAACACAGAAGGGGATAATGAATCTACGGGAAGTTCAGAGAGCCTGAAGTGTACAGAGACTCTTGCCACTTCAGAGACGGAGAGTGGCAGAGGCCTGGTAAAATCTGTGTCTGTTGATAGTGGCACGGGGCTGTCTCAAGATAATCTTGCAAGCTTTGACGAGGCAAAACTTCAGGAGGCCCTGGTGAAGCGCATGGCATCCGAGCGGGGGATCAAGTCTGCCCGGGATATCCCCCAAGGTCTGGTCAAGCAGATGTCGGAGCGGCTATCCCCAGTGGAGGATGCCAGCGAGGAGTCCAGTTGCAGTGTTTCCAGTGAGGACAACCCCCAGTTCCGTGAGACCAAAGCCTTCTGGAAGCTGGCCCGGACAGGCCACATCTTCAACAAGAGCCTGTCGGACTCACAGGTCAACTCACCGGCCAGGAGAGCTGGCCCAGCCCCATCCCCCTGCGCACGGTCGTATCACTCACAGGTGCACATCGCCCGAAGGGACGCATTCAGGCTGACAGCAAAACAGAAGGGCCATGCCCTCCTAAACTCGAGCACAGTCAGGTCCAACATTGACATGTTCAATTCAATGTGCCAGCAGATTTCACTCGAGCAAAATCTGCGATCAAAAACCAAACATCCAGGCAGCCAGGCAGCTGAAAATTCAGGATCCACAAGAGCACTAGCTGTGCCAACTGAAAGTGCAACCACTAAGCCTGCGTCTACAAGAGTCCAGCCAAAGACAAATCTTGTCAAGTCAGTCAGCATTGACAGTGGCATGTGCAGCCTTGGTAGTGATTTGGGTGTACCAGAAACACACACCTGCATGATGTCAGAATCCCATGACCACGATGATTCCCATGAGATGGCTGTGTGCCTCGATGCATCGATGGAGGCCCCAAGAGGCCCACAGGATACCACAGATGACGCGCACAAGCTGAAGCCAACTGACGGCAAGAATGGGACCAAGTATGAAAATGCGGAGGAGATGCCCGTTCATCACAACGGCGACCAGGACATAGACCAGATTCCGGAGCACCTAGCGCCGGTTCATGCCCTCCATAATGAGGCGCTTACCCCCTTGAAGCTAGCCTCGTCAACCATCATCCGCTCACCTGGAAAGAAGGCTGTCAAGATCAGACACCGCTCACCTCTGAAACAGTTACAGATCCCCAACACCAGGGACGTCACGCCATCGTTCCAGGAGAGCAGGTTACACAAGAGATACCCTTGCTCTCCTAAGAACCCCTTGCTCAGACAACAGGCGAGCGCGAGACAAGAGAGATCCCTCATACCAAATCATGTAAGAGACGACATGGATGTGGTAGAGCTATGAGACAATGAAGGGCATAGATGTACACCATCTCATTGTGATTGAACTGCTAATCTTGAACAACACAGAATGCAAAGACTTTGCAAGTAAATCTGACGGACAATATTCTCTACTCTGTAGCTCCAAATGTCTGGAACACAGATCCAAGTTGATGGCTCTTTTAGCCACAACACTCTTATAACCACTATGCCTGTGACCCTGTAAGCATGGGATTCTCATTATGCAATAGTGTGCTTCCAGGCAAGCCAATGTTCCTTGCAAAGCAATGGCAGTAAGCACAGCCTTACGTGCAGTCATTCAAATGTCCAACCCCTCACACTCTGAAATCAGTAAGGGGATGAAGCCTGTCCAATACACTACTCAAGCACAGGCTGCACACTGCGCGGAGTCCATTGTTTGACCATGCTCTTTTTGTTTAGCAGAAAAGGATAGCTGTTCAATTGTCTGAAGATTCTGTGGAGCATCTCTGGGTATTTAACGAAGCTTAACGGTGCAAGGCTTGTTGCGTGATGGAGGAATTTAGACATGCACGCACACTGTCAGACAGGTGTACCATATTAAACATAATGCTAGCCATAGATTTGAAAGTGAGACAATAATCAAATACGTCATTAAAATGTTTAAATGGGTGCTTAAATAAAGGAAATGTACATTTAGGATTTATTTTTACATGCAGTACCGTACATGTACACGCATGTTCCGTTTGGCATGTAGGATTTGCAAAGGAAACTAAAATTGATAATTTTTTGTGTGATATTGATAGATTTTGGACTTTGCATTATTTAACCAGTTATACTAAAATCTTATTACGATAGAGTGAACTAAAATAATCCGAGTGACTGTACCACACATGACATAGGGAACAAGCCATACAGGGTAGACCTCCACTTTGGTATGAGAGGGTCGAGTCAAATATTTATAGTGTTCTGTGACACCAAAAGTACACTTACAATAATGATTGGTATAAAGACATGTACTTGTCACAAGATGCAGGATATGGAATACATGCATTAAGCCAATTAGCTCTTTGTATAACTTGAATGCATGGTACATGTACATGTAACATATGGCTTGTTTAACTGAACATGTTATGTTCTTCAGAGAGGTTTTGTTCCTTAAGCTATATGTGCATTTGATTTGAGGCCAAGCTTTTGCATGTACAGGTATACATGTAGTTGCTGCCCATCATCAGTACATTGCTCAGATGTGGTCCTGAAGAACACACTATAGCGCCAGTCAATCAACTCGTGGTCTCTAGAATTCACACTGAGTGCCACGTTCAATTCTTGCGGTCGGACATCCGCCAAATTCCATACAATCGTTGAGTAGCACGAAGGGTAAATTTGCCCCTTTGCCGCATGTTAAATGTTCGTAGTGACGTCATGCCGACAGTGAGAATATGAAAACATCCTCAGAATATCAGGTGCACTTGTATGATCTGGCAACTTGTTGCTTGTTGGAAAGGGTTAGGCTTACTTTGCACTGTCCTGCCTTGGTTGGGAGGCTCCCCTTCACAGTGATTGATAATGAGCACCGATGTGAACATACAGTATGCATTTGTAGGATTTAACTTGTACTCTTTAAATGTTTTCCACATTCATGCATGGTATACTGTACCCGTTACTTCCTTCTACTCAATGGTGTTTTTGATTCACAGGAGTATTTAACATAGTTGCATATTTTCCCTTGGAGTATACAGTATAACGTTTTGAGTCATTGTGATTTTTTTTATGATTGTGTTCTTTAATGGTGTGGTTGTGTTAACTTGTGTGCCTGTGGAAGACAAATGTACATGCACATAACTTTCTTTTCAGCGATTCGTTTAATACCAAAATAACACAGCATCTGAACAGATTGAGTCACTATGTACTTTAGGGCTTATGTCTCAAGTTGAATCATGCCCTGGGCAATGGCAATACCAACCAAAAGCCTGTATGGTTCACACATATTTACATGCATTTTCAATGCACACACATATACTGAGAGAGCTTGAAATACGGGAAGCAAGTCAATGAGCTGTGCTTACATGTAAATGGAAATAGCTCGTTACAAAACTTCTGAGGGTATTTGCCAGTTAACCAATGTGGAGCATGTGAAAACTGGAAGTCTCACACATTTAATTGAGGGGAGGGGGAAGGTACAGAATCTTTCCGTCTTCTTTCACCTCCTGATATTCTTTTCATTGTACCCACTATCATTGTATACTCTACAATAATGAATGCATAAAAAGAATTATATGATCATAAAGTAACACATTTTGTTAGGATAACGACTGACAAATACAAGATTGGTTGTAAGTGTAGTATGGTTATAGTTTATTATTCAATAATCTCAAAGCCAGTGTGGAACTTTAAATATACATGTATATTAGATTATAATTGTTTAATAAAATGGGGGTCTATTCCTATCAACTTAACAATACATGTAATGGCTACCACATTTTGTGTAGCATCGCGGACGATTCCTTTGAAAAGTCAGTCTGATTAAATGTACCTCCAGACATTTCTTAATCCATGTGGACTTTTGCAGTCAAATGAAATCTAGTTTGGGCATAGATGAAGTTTGGAGTGAGGTACGTCATTATTCGACAAGATTTTGCAAGTCAAAAAAAAAATATTTTATTACAAAGTAAACCAAGTGGAGCACAGTCTTATAATGCTTTGAAAATTATAACTGTTGGGAAAGAAAAACTGGGGGAAACGATCGATGTGAAGATTTGCACCTTGCTAAAATAAAATTCAGTGCAAATTTCCAATCAAAACCCCTCCAAAGTTCACAACATTTGGATTCAAGTTTAGAGGTCATCGCCAACAACCAATATCTAGAGTTTTAAAAATGGGAAACCCTACATAGTACAGCTACATACATGTAGACACAACGGTTTATAGTTTTTAGCATTTATGTAACACAAGGTTTGACAACACATGCACTTAAAGTTTTACACTTTCCTGTTGTTTTCAACTACCATTTTCCCATCTGATATCCACTTAAAAAAAAGTTGACTTCCCTGTGGCGTTCACCTGACAGTCTTTCCCAGCCTACCCAAATCCAACACACTGCTATAGAGTATCAAAGTGAAAATGTCCCACACACAGTTATGTGTGTAAAAGGCATTACGGAGAGAACCAGCGCGTGAACCAACACGCGCGCATTCTCCATTCGTTTGCACTGCACTTTCTGGTTCACAGTGACGCCACACTTCGGTGCTTTATATCGGTTATAATTTTGCTCATTCTTGGTAACTCTACAAAACAGGGACATCAAGCCCTATATGAGAAGAACAGTGCCCTGACTGTAAAGGACTGGCTTCATCAACATGTGGTTTGTTGATTGTGGGACCGAGATCTGCACTTGATGAATCTGGGGGAGTACCGTATGTTGGGCAAAGTCTAGCGTACAGTCTGAGTAGACTGCTAAAATCTCACTATCACTTCAACACAGGGATGACACCGACATCCGTGATGTTGTGACCAGGCTGCATGGGACTTCAGTATACGTGTACACGTAAGCACTAGGCACTGCCTAAAATATGACTGATTGCGACCACAGTCAATTTCTTTACATGTACATGTATACCATTCAAAGCAGCTCTGTCAAGTTAACAGGCAAGAGTTTCCTTGAATTAGGCAGCAATTCTGAAGTACAACACGATTGTGAGACCACCTTCATTTACAATGTAATGTTTGGTCAAAGACTTGGGCACAACCAAACTGTGCCTACTTTTCAGCACAACTGCAATTAAAAATATAGTAAACAGGCCTCACCTTGACAGAATTTCAAACTCTGAGCAAAGTCGGCGATAAAATCCCCAGCACCTCGGTAATTGACAGGTACAAGTACATGTATGTACAGGTATTCAGAATGTGGACATGATCAGGTACATACATCCATGTGCACTTGCACATGACAAACAATTTGGGGTGTATTTATATGTAATAGAGAAGCGCAGATGCTCACACGTACATCTGACAGCTCACCTACTATAGAGTCCTGCCCAAGTGAACCAATTTGCTTTCTTGTCAAAAGGAATTCAGTGGTTCAGAACGTTCTACACTTTTCTCACATTATGTACACTTTAAAGACTCTCTTTACTCGCCCCCACCCCAAAATATCTGTATAGGTGTTCGAGACAGCCTCCTCAGTCTAGCTGTGCCAGGTTGGTTAACTGCTTCAGGACCTTTGTTTGGCTTGTTTCCCTGATCTCCCCAGCTAGGAACATCTCGTCCACCACTGAATAAACCTTGTAGAAGTTGAAGACCAGGTCCAGCTCACAGACATTGTGGAAATATTCGTTAAGTACCTGAGGACGTTTCAAACAGAGCACAGACAAAATCACTGCAGAAACATACAGCTTTATAATCCTCCAAAAAGAGAGAGGTCAGAGCTGCCATCTGGTGACCTGGGCCTATATAAGAGGCCCTGAGAACCACAGAATTCAATTAAAATGGGCAACCTTTGAAGGGTGAGCACAGTAATTGTGTACCAGCACAGTAAGTGCCAAATCCTATAGGAATGTGTGTGCAGCAACACCGATATTCCTTGTGAAGCTGTGGAAGGGGTACAGTAAACAGCACCATGAAATTTGGGCCTGATCTACTCCCACAAATGAGAGCATTGCTGGCAAAATTACCCCTTGATTTTTAATACTGAATAGAGCAGACTTCATGTAGGTGCCTTTATGCTCATTTTCAGGTTTAAATGTGTTCACAATCTTGCAGAAGTTTGACACTTCTGACGAGAGTAATTTAAGAGAACTAGGAAGGGATAAGTTTAGGGTAGCAGGCTAAAGGAACACCAAGCCAGGGGACGACCCACTGTCTAGCCAACGCTAATGAGGTAAGATCCATGCCAACTGACCTATCACAGTTTGCGAGTTCGCTACGACCCCCCCGACAACCCAATCAAATTTTATAGACTTTTTGAGTTTTGTTTTTTAAATTTTGAGTTTTGTTAAGATTGTTTGCGTCCCCGTCCATTTTGTAAATCAATGTTATTTGGATATTCCACAAGCTGAATCAATGCAATTCTACTGCGATAGGTCAATTGGCAGGGAAGTAGAACAACCAATTAACCCTAACACTCGTCAGTCCTCCAACAGGGGAAGGATTGAGGAGTGTAAGGGTTAAAGACAGTAAACACTGGCAATGCTACGTCTAGCAAAAGCCATTGTAAGAGGAACTGCTTGCTGTGGTGGGGCAAAGTCAAGTACATCAAAGATAACTACAAATTGGTTTGTTTGCTTTTTTTTCAAATCGATCAGTAAGTCATTCTTGGCAACTGCGTGGTTTTTACATGTACTCACCTCAACAAAATTATGTATTGCTTCCAAGTAGGATAAATTGTTGTCGCCAACGTCCACGCATATGCAGAAGTAAAGGCCCGCATACCTTCTGTAAACTATCTTGAAATTACGGAACTGTGGAATATAACATACGACCAAAACATTTAAAGGGGATGGGCCAAGTAAGGTTAAATTAACGTTGTATGATAGTTTTCAACAGTCTTATGTATAATAAGTTGAATTAACCCCTCTTTTATGTCATTAAATCAGCAAAATTGGTGTTTTCAGTGTGCTTTTTCAGTCTCTCCCTAAGCTCCTCACAAAAACTTATCGAAATTGGTCAATGAGGGCAGCAGACAAATCTTGGCAAAAATGTGACCTCATTGGATGGACTCGACTTTCCAGACAAGAATGCATAGTTCCGCCAAGAAAGTTCATCGGTCCCCGCAAGAATGATATTCTCTGCTCTGGCATGTAGTTGGGTACGTAACTCGTACGTGTCAAGTCAACCACATTTGGTCTTGTTTTCTATGCCCTCCTCTTAACACGGGGTTCATTTGTTTTGCATATCCCCGTACACGTGTAATAATTTCTATCGTGAATTGTGAATTTCGAAAGAATGCCGATAAACTCTGTTGTCGGTGGCGGTTGTTGCAATCAAAGTAATTCCCCAGAGAGCAGTTTTTGTAAATTCCCAGACGACTTTTCACACCAGCGTTTGCGGGTTAGATTTGTGGATAACACACAATCAGATTTTTGTGAGGACTCAAAATTTGAAAATACATGTGCATGTTTATGTACATATACCAGTACTGACATGTACATGCACACCCATACATGTGCTACACGTACGATGTCAAATGGGACTATATTGCATTGGCGCATTGGACTATTTTCCGGTGCAATTACTATCCGGAATTATCGTTGCTCGAGTCTGACATGATGGCTAACGCTAACGCTACTACATTATGTACATGTCGACGCGTCGTTCCGTAACATTAAACAGTCGCCGGATAAAGGACTCCGTCCTATGACGTCACGACTGGGAATTTCTTCAGACAACTTTCTGTACCCGACAGCTGTTGTTTAGCTTTTGCTCTGAGAAGGGACTGAAATACGGTCGTCTGCACATTTTGAAATTATGCAGATGCGTTTTCTTGTTATATATGTATGTTTGTTTTGTGTGTTGATGCATGTTTTTCAAGAAATATTCCCAGCACGGCCCATCCCCTTCAACTCAACTGTGCTAGGACAAATTCTGATGTATTTTGTTATGACTCATTCTGAGGTACTGTAGCACTCTTTGAAAGCAGTTCTTTCAAAGCTAACACTTTCTCACTAGTCACAGTACAGAGTAATGTTCACCTGTTCAGATGTCATCCCCACACCTCACTCTTGTACTAAGTTCACCATAGATAATAACAAAAGCTTCAAATCAGACTCGGGTAATGTCCGTCAGTGTTTCAAGTGTCCTTGATAGCCAGTTGCACCTGTAGTTTGAACATTTACAACTGACACAAAGGTACTGCTTTTCACATTCAAGAAATATATCCTTAAAAGGTTTTTTTTAAGCATTGCTGTAATAAAGCAACATGAGCAACATTGGTTTTTTATTCTGCAGAATGAAGACAAATGGCACAGGCATCCCCCTTACAGCTTCCAGACAAGAACACATGTTCACATACAGTGTACATGTACATGTATGTATGTAGTGATGCAGATGTAACCAACGTATAAACTCAAATGTGTATCATCTGGAGGTTCAAATGTAGATGATACTTACTTCTACAAAATTTGTGTGCTTGGCGTCTCTGACTGTGACCAAGGCATGCACCTCCTCAATCAGCTTCTGTTTCTCGTCGTCATCAAATGACATGTACCACTTGGCCAGCCGCGTCTTGCCGGCACGGTTCTGGATCAGGATGAAGCGAATCTGCACCAAGAGATGACACTGCTTTATTACTTTTGGCCGGTCCTAAAACTAGACTTGACTGAGTTCAAGCTGATTCAGAGTTGCCCTTTGTCAAAACAGGTTGTCAAAATGTTACCCTCAACGTCTGCGAACAGTTTTGCAGGGAAGTTTCCCTGATTGACACATTTGAATGTAACTTTCAAGGACCTTCATAACCGTTATAATACATTAGAGTTTGATAGTGTATATTTAGCTGGGGCTGGCAAAAATTGTCTGAACTATATTTTGCCAATGTAGCCAGCTGATTCATGGCTCTGGAATATGTTGACCACCATTGAAAAGTGAACTTCATAATGAACAGAATACGCTATTTTATCACACGGAGTGATCATTAGATTTCATAAAATACACTTATGTCTAAATGCTGTAATAAAAATGATTCCAATAAAACACAAAATCTAAGAAACAACTTTTCTATTTATTCCCAAACTAACTCCAGAAGAAAGCATTCAAGAAGGACAATAACTGCACATGAACATTTAGGCACGCAGCCTAACACAAGCGACTGCACAAGCATTAAATTTGATGCTGTCGTGTGATCAGACCAAGCACCAATGAATATTCAACTTCCTATACTTCCGTACACAAAGTTTTAAGGATGCAGATTACCAGCGAAAAGTTGTGGCAGCAATCATAGGGTATAAAGGGGTCTTATGGTTGTGAAACAGATGGTGCATAGCAACACGGAGGTAGGAAAACATGGTAGCAAGCTCTCCCTGCACTGTGTTATGTCTGGTTATCATGGGTATGGACTACTTCGAGAACTCAAAGTCATTACTCAGTACAAGGAGTACTGTGAGTTCTCGAAGTAGGTATGGACACAGTACATACATGTACAAGGCATGCCAGAAAGCAGTAATTGGCCAGGTGTCATAACCTGGGCGGTTCGAACTCCTTAGTGTCCTTACTCCATGATGATGTTACGCCCCAACTATAGCATCAGTCCCAACTATAGTTGGGCCCATCCCAACTAGAGTGCTACAGTTGGGCCGGCCCAACTACAGCAGCGAGGTCCTGTGTGCATGATGTGCCCAGCATGTGCCAAAGTCATATTGTTTAGAAATGTCATGTCACTGGTCATAGGGCAAGATGAACAGATGAAGTGCCACATTTTAGATGAATTGTGTCAAGTATGAGACACATTGACTTGGATAATGTTGAGACATTTTCCACAGACATTGGTCAACAATAGTTGGGCCAGCCCAACTGCAGCACTACAGTTGGGACTTATGCTATAGTTGGGGCGTAACAATGACACCATACTACTCCACGGACACTAAGATCATGTTTTTTGCTTGCCTGGCCTGCTCCCCTCCCAGCCACAGACATGACAGCCTAGGCTCAGTCTACCAATACAATGGCATGCATTTTGTGCATATGTCATGCAGCCCAGGCGGACTCCCTGACCGTACTACGTCAGTCGTAATGAAACGAAAACAACGTCCAACCTAGGCTAAGTAATAATTTTTTTTTCATGTAGGCCTATGTACATGTACATGATGTACGAGTTAACACCGTCACCGTGACTGCATTTTTTTCTGCAGTGCACAGTTGACTAGTTTTCTCATATAAATTGTCGAACATCATCTGAAAGAAAAAAAAGTATTATCCACTATAACCTTCTAAATCACTTTAACAAAAATATTCCGCAAACAGTACAACAAAGTTAACATTTTGAGGGTTATTTTACCATTGTGATGAGCTGTGAGATTCTCTTCGACCATCGGCCACCTTGCGAATACCATCCGCCCTCTTCTGAGCTCACTCCACTTATTTGTAGGGCTGGTCCCCTGCCGATATATTGTTATATTGATTATTCTTTTAAATATTTTCCATCAACATAGAATTTTATAATAAAAAATATTCAATTCCTGCTAATATTTATTCTTAAAGTTATTTATCCAATAACTTTAAAGTAGAAAAGTAGAAGAAACACCAATAAAAATTGGGGCTCTCCCTCTTTTTAATTTTGAACCCTCCCGTTACCATTCGTATGTTGCATGCTGCACTTCTTGGTAACTCCAATAATCAAATCAAAATGGCCTCCATTGAAGAAACTCGCACACGTGTGCGAATGCTGGAACATGAAATAGAAAATGTAGGTAATGTCCCCCACAGATATTTGCATGTTGATATATCTCTGCCTTACTTAGTATAAATGAAACTAGTATTTACTGTAAGACTAGGGGAAGGATTGTCATGGACATGATGGACATTATTGGTGGAGCAGATCGCAGACGACAAAGAATAAATTAGCCCAGTATGAACTTGGCGAAACATCATTGGATCATGACGACAGACATGCTTGATCAGATGATCATGTCATTATCATGGCACGAGGAAAACGTTGGTATCATGTTAATCGTGATGACATGAATGAGGAATAATGATGAACTAAGTAAAGGTTTAAATTTCCTCCAAAGATTGGTGTTCCTTAGCACTTAGTTTTTCCTTGCTCTATGTATCTTTAATAATCAGGCCAGGGCCCCACAATAAAATGTGAAAGTGATAACATGTCTCCAAAAGTGAAATTTAGTGAGGAAAATTTCGACGCATTTACCAAGAAAACACTTTTTTTTGACAAGTCTCATTGGTTTGTGCACAGGGGCATCAAGTGTTGTCCATGTATGGAACTCTTTCCCATACATGTAGTCTATCTGAAAGATTGTGTTTGTGGAGAGAGGACAGGGCTTTGGCTTTTTGAGGGAAATCATGAGGTTAAAAGGCAGCGTACATGACATGACAAAGAGCTGTGAATGAAGACAAATTAGCCAGTGTAGTCTGGTTCCTTGACCTGTATGATGACTTTTGATAAATCTTGATGAATCTTAATATATTCACAATTGCCGGGTCGGGTAACAGATTTGAAACAAAATGGCATGATCCAACTGAGCGGTTGTCATTCGCCAAACATGGGTAAGAACATTATGGGGGTTTTTGTGCTTAAATATTGTCAAAATTCCCTAAACTAGAGCTGTGTGTTACTCAGTAATAGTATTCGGATTAAAGAACAAATGCTCAAGGTCTAAATGTCAGTTATTTTGAAAAAGTGGACTTTGTTTCCTTATTATAGAAACAGGGTGCTTAAGGTAAGTAACACCAGCAAAACATTGCTGTTTATCACTTACATGTATATATCAGTGGTTGGGAGGGGCACAGCCTCCAACTCGAGACCTGTGCTCCAGGCTTGTGTGTGTGCCCCCTCTCCTCGGTCAGAAATAAAAGCAAGAAAAATCTTTTGACGGTCAATTGTTGTAACCGACTGAACTTATCGAGTAACCCCCTGGTCCTCCAGAATATGAGGCCTTCCTCTGTCGAATGTACCCCAGTTATGCCACTGCCACTTAACGTATGTACTATGCTATCATTGGCAAGAGTTCCAAATACATGTATGGACATACTTATTATTTTCCCGTTCTTGACACCCAGGCATGCTAGGCCCAGCAGGTCTTATCAGGGTTACATGTAGGTTCCATGTATTTCTAGTTTTTAGAAACTAGAACAAACCAGTGTTATGCCTTTAGTCACCAAGTCCCTAATTTCGCCACTTATTATCAAGTTGGATTAGTCTTCACAGTAAGTGGTGAAATAAGGGACCTGGTAACTATACGGTCACAAGTGTTTCTGGAAGAAATTCGTTCCAAACCTCAGTGTGGGTATTTTTGTCACTCCGGAACATTTTTACTATTCTTAGACATGCATCTACCATAATACATGGAACTTAGAGATGGGATACCCCCAAGGTTAGGGGTATTGTCATTTCAAAAGGGACAATCCCCTGTCACAGCTCAGGTGCTACAGCCTATGTATCAAAGTAAGGGTAATAAATCCCCTTCAGTGCAGGAAAACTTAAGAAAAAAAACACTTATACATGCACCTGTTTCGTTGTTTAATTTTCATCTTCCAAATTATCCTCTGTTTTATTTGCAGCCCCACAGCTCAGATTTTCCAGGAAACTATGTCGGCTTTGATGACAGCTGGAACCATGAAAAGTTTGTGGAGGTACAGGCATGCATAAAACAACTTATTTGAACAGAGGAGGGCAGTGCTTGAAAAACCATCAAATTGAGCTACATGTATCTCCGAAACAGCAGTAGTTTCAGAAAACATGACTGACTTTATAATTCATTTTGCCATTTGATGCAAATCAACTTTCGAAGCCTCTATTATTTTTCAAGGGATTTATTCCTTTTTGCTCTGTTGTATTGTTCTTTCGTTTTGTATTTTTTCCCCGTTAACTTTAGCAAAAGTCTAATGGAGTGAAGGCTGACAGGTTTCTTGAATCTTGATCTTTTTCTGTCTTCAGAATTTCCACATTGACATTGTGCAACTGAGCGAGACGGCAATGGAGTTTGACATGGTCGGCATTGATGCTGCACTAGCCAATGCCTTCAGGAGAATTCTGCTTGCCGAGGTGTGGATTAGTATTTCCCCTTCCGTAGTTCCACCAACTAAAACACAACTGAAGCATTGTATTTGAATCCTAAGTCCACAGGGGTATTGTGGCGAGGGATCTTAGTCACGTCCAACCGCATGCAAGGGTTGTCACAGGGAGGTGTCTACTCAGTCTGACAATTTCCAACCTGGAAACCATTTCTAGGCTGCTCCATGGTAGGATATGTTCAATGACTCCAGCTTCCGCATTTCTTAGAGTGGGCAGTGGATGCTTTTTCTGATAGTTGTCCACTATAACATGGCTCAAAAGGATAAACGGGACGTTACCTACCAGTAAAGACTAATGAAATCCAGTGCCACTGTTGAGTCTAAAAGAATTTTGTACAATGCTACAAGCAGTGTTGTAGCCGAGACCAATTAAGGCCTTCACAAGACCATACAAGATCATCATAAGACCTCCAGTCTGAGTTCAAGCCACAAGCTATTCAAATGAACTGCAACAAAAGCATTCCTTTGTCATTGTTCACCCTATGACTTGTGTCTGGTCTTGTGCATGGTCTTGTGTCTGGTCTTGTATCTGGTCTTGTGTCTGGTCTTGTGTCTGGTCTTGTGTCTT